CACAATCAACAAATTAGAAAATGAGTTGAGAATTACGAGAATGAAATGGCATGATATTTAAAAGAATACCGGGACCTCCTCAATGTGGCTTTGGACATTGGCATTGCAGCTTTCAGGAAACTCTCGAAAGGTGAGGAGACCCAGCTCAGTTTCACCAGCTTGGGAAGCATAGCCAGTGGCTATACTCAGAGTTCCCAGATCTTTGGTTGATCTGCCTAAGGTGGTTTACAGACTAGCTCCTACTTGATGTCTGCTTGCTCCTTCCCTTCTTAATACACCAGAAACATCCAGGAGGAGCAGATCAAGGTGGATGAGACCATTAGGAAGCTAAGGATGAATCCCCCTCTGAAGGAAAACCTAAAGAGGAGGAGGAAAAGGAAGTGACTGATGAAAAGGAAAGAGGAAGAGGAAGAAAGTGCCAAGGAAGAATTTGAGGATGCAAAGGAGGAAGAAAAAGGAGGTGAAGGTGAAGGAAAAGATGCCCGAGAAGCTGAGGATGAGAAGAAAGATGAAGGTGCTGGGGAGGAGCAAGCAACCAAGAAAAGATTGAGCCCTCCTTTCCTTAATTATTTCAAGAATAATCTTCCTGAAACCAGGTCAACCCCATCACCAACCAAGTGGTTGAGTTCCTGATACTATATGAATTAAGAAGTCAATATATATAACATTGTGAGATGACTCAGGTTGGACATTAAATGCTATGCTATGACTTTTCTCCTTATGAAGAGTATCTGTTTGCTTGCAGAGTGGCTTCCTAGCTTGCTGTCAGTCTGTGCATGGTACATGCTTATGAGTTCAGGATCTATGACAATGTGAATAATTCAGATGTTTATCAGAGAAACACATGAATACATGAATTCACTGATGTTAATGTTAAACTTCATGGAAAAAAATAGTTTTTTGAATCTTTGGTGGTTAGAAATTAAAGACCTCAAATCATGTGCAATAAACAGTAAGTATGACAAAAGAAAAAATACATTAGGACCCAGGAAACATTCAAAGAACTGGGGAAACATTCCCAAATCAGGAAGGGAAGTCACTGGGTGTATATTATTGCTATGAATACTGTATTTTCTATTACTTACAACATATACAATGCAATGTATTAGATGGCTTCCTATTGCATGAAATATGTATTCTCATAGAGTAATACTGGTACATATGTTATAGTTATGGCAGTATGTCATTATGTCATATCCTATCTATATTAATAAAAGGGTAATATGCTAATGAGACCTTCCAGAAGTCCTTCCGGACAAAGCCATTGTGGCGGGGCCAAGGCAGAGGTGGTTAGGGGTGATCAGGTAGGGGAAGGCAGTTGGGGATAATCAGGCTAGAAGGGGAGAGCAGATGGGGGTAATCAGGCCAGCAGGCAGAATGGTTAGGGGTGATCAAGCAGGCAGGCAGGTGAGCGGTTAGGAGCCAACAGTCCTGGATAGCAAGGGGGTTGTCCTACTGCTAGTTTAGGTTCGATCCCACAGGGGTCTCAGATTAGAGAGGATGGAGTCCAGGCTGAGAGACCACCCCCCCCAATGCACGAATTTTGTGCACCAGGACACTAGTCCTATATAGTCCTGTATAATAAAAGAATAATATGCAAATTGACCATCACTCCAACACCCAAGATAGCTGCCTCCATGTGATCAAAATGATTGCCCCCATGTGGACATAGATGGCTGCCACAAGATGGCCAGCAGGAGAGGGAAGTTGGGAGGGACCAGGCCTGCAAGAGAGGGACCAGGCCTACAAGGGAGGGCAGTTGGAGGTGATCAAGCCTGCAGGGTAGGGCAGTTAGGGGTGACCAGGCCTGCAGGGGCGGGCAGTTAGGGGTTGGCAGGGGAGCAGTTAGGCATCAATCAGGCTGGCAAGGGAGTGGTTAGGAGGTGATCAGGCTGGCAGGCAGAAGCAGTTAATGGCAATCAGGAAGGCAGGCAGGTGAGCATTTGGGAGCCAGCAGTCCTGGATTGTGAGGGATGTCTGACATCTTTCTTCTCAGTCGGACATCCTTTGAGGGGTCTCAGATTGGAGATGGTGCAGGCTGGGCTGAAGGACACCCACCTCCACTTGTGCACGAGTTTCATGCACCAGTCCTCTAGTTGTTCTAGAAAAATTAACCTTGAAATAGTTTCTTTAATTCTTTTAATGGTAATGTGAACTACATTCTATTTTTAAATAGGTCTTTTTTTACTGCTTGCACTAGCCTGATTGGACCCAGTTGTTTTTCCAAGGAGTTGAACCAGTACAATTCCTCTCCAATGTTTCATTCTTGGGAAAAAGTGGGGGAGCTCTACATTTAGTAATGTATGCTCACAGACATAAAAAAATAAGTATGAAACTGTTAAATCTAAAAATTCTTCTTCACAAGGATTTATGCATAAGAATTCAAAGATTATGGGGAGTTCCTAAATGTTGGTAGTATCTAAAAAGTTGAGTTCAGTCCCTCAAAAAATTAAAAATGAATCTGTTTATGACCCAGCAATTCCACTTTTGGGTTTCTTTATCTGAAGAAACCCAAAAACTCTAATTTGAAAGAATATATGCACTTCTATGTTCATTGCAGTGTTATTTATATTCACCAAGATCTGAAAGCAATCAAGTGCCCATCGATAGATGACTGGATAAAAACAAACAAAAAACAAACAAACAAACCTGTGATATATATATAGAATAGAATATTACTCAGCCAAAAAAAGGATGAAATCTTACCATTTGCAACAGCACATGGATGGACCTAGAGGGTATTAATCTAAGTGAAATCAGTTAGAGAAAGACAAATATCATATGATTTCACTGATGTGTGGAATCCAAAGAAAAAAATAAATGAACAAACAAAATTGAAACATATATAGACACAGAATACCAATATCTTTGTCTCTGGTAGTTGCCAGAGGAAAGGGGAATTGGAGAATTGGGTCATATATACTTTGGATCACAAGGGTCATTCCACCTACCACACTACTTTTCTTTGGAGAATCCACCCACAGGGTTTTTGTCCGCTCTACCTTACCCTTTTGCTACTGCCTGAAGTTCTGTGGCTCCTGGCCCATATCAATTCTACTTGGCTAAAGCCCAAAAATTGGTCTCACAGAAGTGGACTTTAAACATACTTTCAGAGTCCACTTCAGTCTGTCTCAATTTTAATACATTAAGCTTCTCAGCACATTTAAGGTTTATTAATTTTGTTCAGAACTATAATTCCAAGTCAAATGTATGTTTGTAAGACCAAATAATATGGGTTTTAGTAAACTTTTAATATCACATGGTGACACCAATGTCTTTCTATGTGTCTCAAGAACAGGACCATCAGTGCTGGAACCCTAACTCTTTAGTGAGGATATGGACACAGTCGTGGCTTATTTGGTTGGAGTGTTGTCCTGTACCCCAAAAGGTGGCAGGCTGTATTCCCCATCAGGGCACATACCCAGGTTGTGGGTTTGATGTTTTTTTCTCTCTCTCTTTCCATTCTCTCTCTAAAGTAAAAATTTTTAAATATTTTAAAAAGAAAAAAATGCTGTTGCATATTTATGCTCAAATGGTTTTCTAACCACTTACACATGTTTAGTATTTTGTCCTTTAATTTTGAAAACTTAGCTTACTCCTAAGAATGAAGTATTTTCTTACTATGATCATTTCAAATCATTACCAGAAAGTGAACTGAGCAATATTTTTATTTTGTAATTTAAAATATGATTTTTAATAAAATATATAAAACACTAATGCCATTGAATAGCATATTCTTGAAATGAGTGCAAAATAAACATTTATTTTGCTCTTTGCTGTTTTAAAGCAATTTTTATTGGGTTGAGGAAGTATATTTTAGGATATAAAGTAGTTTGCCAAATTCTGTAATTCCACCTTTTAAAAATGTCATACAGGGTATGGTGCCTTTAGAAAAAAATTAAAAGTTGCAGTTCTTGCTGTTCCTTTCCTTCTCTATTTCAAAAATAGTAAAATAATGTAAACTCCACAAGGAAATTCTGGTTCCGATTATTAGTTGCTGGGTTTCTCCACTATTAAATGTCAAGTCATTCCCTGAATCTAGTTATCTAGTTTTTACTTATTCCTTGCCAGGAGTGTTTATGTTCTTAATATTGTATCTCATTATTAGAAATGGAGTCTTGATAAGTATTAACATAATGCTTATATTTATTTATTTATTTATTTATTTATTTATTTATTTATATTTACTTAGAAAGGTGAACAACTCAAATGAAGCATCTACCCTGTTTCACCGAAAATAAGACAGTGTCTTATATTAATTTTTGCTCCCAAAGATAAGGTAGGTCTTATTTTCAGGGGATGTCTTATTTTTCCACGAAGAAGAATACAGTACACATTTATTGTTAAATGAAAATAAAGGAAATTTATTACCTATATACGGTATGGTAGTATGGTAGTTGTCAACACAAACCAGACAAACTGTGAATCCTACAGTATCAAGAATTTACTCATTTATTCAATGACAATCATGTTATCATCTTCTGGAACATCATCATAACAATCCAATTCCTGAATTTCCTGGTGAATTTCTTGTGACTCCATTTCTTTCAGAATCAGTGGACCAAATCTCTCATGTTTAGCCTGGGTGGGGAGGGGCTTATTTTCGGGGGGATGTCTTATATTTCACTCAGAAGGAAATCTGTAAGTAGGTCTTATTTTCGGGGAAACACGGTAGATTGAGCCATATCCCTCTTGTAGTGGCATCAGTGTTGAAAATATCAAAAAAACCACTCTCTTTTTGTTTTTCTTTTATTAGTCCCTAGTTATCAGGAAGCACTTATACACCAGTAAAGCAGAAAAGAGTTAAATAAAGAAGGAACCTCAGGTTTTCTAGCAGGCGCGAATACTTTTTTAAAAAAAAGTAGCTAGTGAAAAACATCACCCCACCCTGTGATCATTTGTGGATTACTGAGCCAGGTCGCGCTTGGGCATCAATGAGCGGAGGTGGGCGAAGGAGGGGGTCCCTTTTCATCTCCCCACAGGACTGCAGGCGGGATGAGATAGGGCTGTGGGTCCCCGGTTCGGGGGAGGAGACGCTCGCCCGCCCCACCTAGAGAGCAGGCGGCTGAGGCATGGGAGCCGCCCCTCCCGCCTCAGAGAACAAACCGGACATTCAGCAGTGGCCAGTGGCTGTCAGCAACTCCTTGGGGAAGGAAATTGTCGAGTCAGGCTGGACCGTAATCACCGTTAAATGCTTCCGGACCCCTCCAGCTGCACATACCCGGGCTGCCCCGCGAGCGCGCGCGTGCGTAGGAGCGCGCACAGGGTGTCTTGTGTGCACGCCAGAGGCGCGGCCGGCGTGCTCTTGGCGGGCCGCCCGGACAGTCTCCACCGACCATGAGCGGCGCGGGCCCCTGGGTTGTGCTCGGCCTGCTGCTGGCGGCCCAGCAGTCGGGTCAGCAGCACCCGGAGAGGTAACGCGCCCCGCCCTCTCCCTCTTTCCTCCCTCGCTCTGTCCCAGCAGCCTCGGGCCCAGTTCTCCTCAGTTTGCTCTGAATGCCGAGGGACCTAGCCTTGGGCAGGCCCCAGGCCCCAGGCCCCGGGTCCAGTCGCAGGGCTCCCTGGCCCCCGCTGGCCCGGTCACCACGTAGCGAAGGCGTCATCCGTCCAGAGTCTTCCCTCCCGCATGGAAGCGTTAGGACCCAAGTCTGTGGATTTAGGCTTATTTCTGTTTTTCCCTGGAGAGAAAAACTTAATTAAACATAGGAGGAAACTTGAATTGCATGGTGCCCTGCTGCCCTGCGAACGGTCCGAGCTGCTCCGGCTTCCTGAAACTTAACCTTTGAGCGGCTCCAGCACCTGGGCCGAGGGACTCACTCCTGGCAACTTTGTCACCTCCTCCATCAACTTACCTTTTCAATGGGGGGATCTGCCAATGCCCAAAGGTTTTCAGAAAAGGGGATGAGAAACTTTTTTATATTAACCAGTTGCTTGTCTATCTCTAAACCATGCACATCACTTGGCCTGGTTTTCATCTTCTCTCTCTCTCACTCCCCCTTTTTAATTTTTCCACCTACTAAATATTTTCCTATAACATTTTACCACTGCTTAGAAAACTTGGTTTCATATGGATAGATGGATGGACGGAAGGATGGATGGATGGATGGATGGATGGATAACAGAACTATCGAGCTTGTGTTATGATGGAGACAGGTGGCAGCTGGATAGAATGTTTCATTGGGGTATATTCTGAGAGCTAGCAAGCTCTTGAATCCCTTATATGATACAGGCATTTATTAATCCATATTAACTTTATCCATATTACTAGACTATACATTCTGAAGTTGACATATTTCAAATTGTTTCCCTTTTATTTCATAGACCTGTTTTCACATGTGGTGGTGTTCTTACGGGAGAGTCTGGATTTATTGGCAGCGAAGGTTTTCCTGGAGTGTACCCTCCAAATAGCAAATGCACTTGGAAAATCACAGTAAGCATATTTTAAAAGGGTATTCTCCTCGAAGTGGGTATTATTAACAGTGGAAGACTGCTACTTTTTTCCTCGGAGATCAAGATTTGAGTTAGCTGCAAATGCCTGGTAGTGAAATGTTGGATTTATCTCAGCTATTTTGGAGATTTTTATTAATAAAACTAGTGGTGTCCTGCATTAGCAACTGGAAAGGATGCAAGATAAAGCTTGAAGGAATAAATGCTTTAAGCAGGTGTGTTTCTGAAAACCCAGCCTGACTCAATTGAGTTTCATGGCTTAAAAATTAAGGCTATTTTGTCATAATGATTGTTAGAAATTATTTTGTTGCCTGTGCCTTGCATAAATGTCTCCCAGTGGGGAATAGAAGATCAAAGGTGGTGCTCCTCTGACTACTTTATACCATTGCAGAAAAATGGGGGGTGGGATGGGGGCAGAAAATGGAAAAAAATCCCAGTTAATGTTCCTGACTTGAAACCACTACTGAAGACAACTGAAGAATGATTTCACTTATATGTGGAATCTAAAGAACAATATAAATGAACAAACAAAACAGAAACAGACTCATGGGTACAGAAAACAGGCTGATGATTGCCAGAAGGAAAGAATATTGGGGGGCTGGGTGAAAATGTGAAGTTTTAAGAAGTGCAAATTGGTAGTTACAGAAGTTATGGAATACAAAGTACAGCATAGGGAATATAGTCAGTAATATTGTGCTATGTACAGTGCCAGGTGGATCTGGAAATATTAGGGGAACACTTTGTAAAGTATATGATTGTCTAACATCTATGTTGTACATCTGAAACGAATCATATATAATAAAGAGGTAATATGCAAATTGACCATCACTCCAATACACAAGATGACCACCCCCATGTGGACACAGATGGCCACCACAAGATGGCCAGCAGGTGAGGGCAATTGGGGGAGACTAGGCTTGCAGGGGAGGACAGTTAGGAGCAACCAGGTATGCAGGGGAGGGCAGTTGGAGGGACCAGGCCTGCAGGGGAGGGCAGTTGGTGGGGCCAGGTCTGCAGGGGAGGGCAATTGGGGGTGATCAGGCCAGCAGGGGAGGGAAGTTAGGGGTAAGCGGGCTGGCAGGGGAGCAGTTAGGCATTGATCAGCCTGTCAGGGGAGTAATTAGGGTGTGATCAGGATGGCAAACAGAGGCAGTTAGGGGCAATCAGGCATAGGGAATATAGGAAAGCAAGTGGTTGGGAGCCAGGGATGTCAGAACTAAATGGGCTGTCGGACATCCCTTGAGGGGGTCCCAGATTAGAGAGGGTGCAGGCTGGGCTGAGGGACACAGCCCAGCCCGTGCATGAATTTTGTGCACTAGGCCTCTCAGATAAAGTAATATTGAATATAAAATAGATAAATTAGCAAAAAATGAGAATAATAACATGGGGAATTAAATACCAAAGGCTAATAAAATGTCCATACTGGTTAGTAATGACATTGTTTATGCTGAATCAAGATAAGATATCAGATTTAGAGCCATCCAGCTTTTATAAAGTGTCTGGATTTAGAATTGGCTATATTGAGACATCTTTCCAGTCAGTATAGAAGTGACTGTTTTCTTCTTCATTCTTTGGTTGTTGGGAAGTTGTTTGGTAATTGAACACATTGGTTTACTGAGACGTTCATTCATTCAGATCGTACCACTCACAGATTACAATTTTTAAAAGTAGCTACCTTTTATTGAGCACTTACTGTGTGCTAGACATTGTGCAATGTAATTAATAAGAATAATTTCACTAAATGCTGCTAATCACTCTTAAGAAAGTAAAATTATTTTCCTTACTTTTATAGATAGGGAAACTGAGGCCTAGAAAATGTTATAAAATGACTTGATCAAATATTTGGTAAGTCCACCTTATGTAAAGTGAAACCTGTTTTGCATTGAGGTATTCCCACCAGGAAGGTCATTTGATACCCATAATATAAGCCATGGCTCTTAGATGCATTGGTGTCCTCCTCTCAAATGCCAACTCTCTGATGAGCTGGCACATATTTCGTTATGTTATTGTGTAGTACATGGGGCCAGAAGAGCTTAAGTCATAGAAAATAGCTTTGAAATATTGATATTAGCATAAATGTGAAATAAAGCTCTGAAACAAACATAAAAATAACCTATTTTTTAAATAAGAATTGTGTTTCAATTGGAATTAAATGGCTGTAAGGTAAAATTGGTTCAATAAATTTAATGACTGAGAGGCATCATGTACCTAAAATGGAAGAATTCATGGCTGGCCATTCATTTGGGGTATTAGGGGACATAATTGGTGTGACTTTGATTGAGGCTTGGGAGATGTGGTGAAAATTTTCTTTGGTAAAGAAGTGGTATGCTTCAGGAGAGGGCTGCCACTCATTCTTTTATGAGGCAAAGGAAGTGTAATGGATACTCCACTTGAATGTTGTGTAAGGATGTGAGCTTAGCAATCTGATGGCCCTAGACTCAAATTCTCCTTCTATTAGGTCTAGTAATAATTAATGTCGTTTTCTAATACTTTTTTAAATCGAATTTATTTAAACAATACAACAAAATTTAATCAACAATATATTGATAGTTGCCGTTGTTTTCTACTACTTGTGCCCAACGCTCAGGAAGCATTTTAATCCCTCTGTTGTAAAATTCTTGTGATTTTGATGCAAAAAATTCGGTCAATGCATTTTTGAGGCATTCTTCATTATTAAATTTTTTTCCAAGAAGAAAGTTTTGCAAAGAATGAAACAAATGGTAATCGGAAGGGGCAATATCAGGAGAATATGCAGGTTGAGGGAGAACTTCCCATTCCAACTGGCGCAGTTTTTCAGCAGTGATTCTTGCAGTATGCGGTCGTGCGTTATCGCGATGAAGAATTACGCCCTTCCGATTAATCAGCGCGGGTTCTTTTTCTCTTAAAGCTTGGGCTAACCTTTCCATTTGGGCACTATACACTGCACTTGTAATGGTTTGGTTAGATGGTAAAAGTTCATAATGAAGAATTCCTTTAAAATTCCACCAAACACACAACATCACTTTTTTCGCATGCAAGTCAGGTTTTGGCGTGGGCTGTGGAGCCTCATTTTTGTCCAACCATTGAGGCCGCCTTTTCAAATTATCATACAGCACCCATTGTTCATCTCCGGTAACAATTTGCTCTAAAAACGGCAAACGGTTTTGACGAGAGAGGAGCGAACTGCAAATTGTGACTCTTTGATTACGGTTGTTGTCGGTCAACTCATGAGGAACCCATTTCCCAAACTTTTGGACTTTGCCAAGTGCACGCAATTGATTGGAAATTGTTTTTTGTGAACAATTTAAAGTTGTCGCAAGCTCTTGTTGGGTAATTTGAGGATTTTGCACCAAAAGAGCTTGAAGAGCTTCTTGATCAAAATTGGACACACGGCGTCGACCACTCTTGTCATCTAACGAAAAATTTCCCTCGCGAAATTTCTCAAACCAACGCTGGCATTTTCTGGCGCTAACTGCATCTTGACCAAGAGCACTACAGATGTTTTTTGCAGCCTCACTTGCTTTTCTTCCTAATTGGAACTCGTAAAGCATGCAGTGCCGAATATGCTCTTCATCCGCCATCTTCTTAGCCCTAGTTTTGCAACACAAACCAAACCAAACACAAACTTTTTCAAGCAAAACTTGTTAATTGCACTTCACACGTTCTGTAGATACCACGTGTTTGAAGGTTATGTCAATACAAGTCAACGCCAAGCAAGATTTTAAACGAATGTTGAAAAACGACATTAATTATTACTAGACCTGATATCACTTACAGTTTGTGTGAACAGGATTTATCTCCTCTAAATCTCAAGACTGTTGTGAAAATAAAAAGAGATAGTACATGTACTAGTAAAGCCCTTCGTCTCAGTATCTGGGATATAATACGTGCTCAATAAATGTTAGTCATCGCTATTTGAGGTGTTTATTTTTTCCAAAAAGTTTTTATTGATTAAGGTATTACATGTGTCCATATCTCCCCATTGCCCTTCTACCCCACTCCCATACATGCCTTCACTCCCCACCCCGTGTCTTGTGTTCATTGATTATATTTATATGCATGTATACAAGTCCTGTGGTTGATCTCTTACCTCCCCTGCCTTCCCACTGTAATTTGACAGTCTGTTCTATGCTTCTCTGCTTCTTTATCTTGTCTTTTTGTCCATCAGGTTATAATGTTCTTTATTATCCATTAATGAGTGAGATCATGTGGTATTTTTCTTTCACTGATTGGCTTATTTCACTTAGCATAATGCTTTCCAGTTCCATCCATGCTGCTGCAAATGGTAAGAATTTCTTCTTTTTTTAAAGCAGCATAGTATTCCATTGTAGATGTACCACAAATTTCTAACCCACTCATCTGCTGATGGGCACTTAGGCTGTTTCCAAATCTTAGCTATGGTGAATTGTGCAGCTATGCAAAAAGGGGTGCATATATCCTTTTTGATTCCTATTTCTAGTTTCTTGGGATATATTCTTAGAAGTGGGATCACTAGGTCAAATGGGAGTTCCATTTTTAGTTTTTTGAGGAAACCCCATACTGTTCTCCACAGTGGTTGCACCAGTCTGCATTCCCACCAGCAGTGCAAGAGGGTTCCTTTTTCTCCTTATCCTCGCCAGCACCTGTAGTTTGCTGATTTGTTGATTATAGCCATTCTGACAGGTGTGAGATGGTACCTCATTGTTGTTTTGATTTGCATCTCTCAATGAGTAGTGACTTTGAGCATGTTTTTAGATGACTTTTGGTATTCCTTATGTACTCTTTTGAAAAGTATATATTTAGGTCTGTTGCCTATTTTTTGATTGGGTTGTTTATCTCCCTTTTGTTAAGTTGTATGAATACCCTATAAATGTTGGAGATTAAACCCTTATTGGAGATAACATTGGCAAATATGTTTTCCCATGCAGTGGGCTTTCTTGTTGCTTTGTTGATGTTTTTTTTGTTTTGTTTTGTTTTGTTTTGTTTTTTTTTGTTTTTTTGCTGTGCAGGAGCTTTTTATTTTGA